TTAATTCAGTCTCTCATAATTTCAAGCATGGATTCCTCCCACATCCTCCTAATTAGTCCTCCCTACCTGTCTTGCCTTCTAATCTATTCTCCACACAAACATCTGATCATATCTCTCCCCTGATTTCAGTCTTTGAATGACACCCATAATGATCAGGATACAAAGTTCAGACTCTCGGGCGTGACGTACAAAGAGCTTCATGACTTTTTTCCTGGCTTACTTCTTTGGTCTCATCTTTCTCCACTGCCCCCTCATGTCCACCATCCTTCCCTGAACACATCTGCTTTCTCTCACCTCTTTGTCTAGAATGCTCTTATTTCCTCTTTTCTCGTGGCCCTCTTCAGCATCCACTGAGCCTCAATTTAGACATCACCTCCTCACAAAGGCTTCTTGGATGTCTAGCCCACTCCTCCCAGGGTGCTACAGAGGCCTCACTCAGGGCACCCTGGGAATGTCTCTATCCTAGCAATTGTCGTTTTGCATTGGCCTCATGTTGAATGTCCAGCTCTTGGCACAGTCTGGCACCTCATCTGAGCTCAGTGCTTGCTGAATAAATTGAAAAATGATAATCCCTACTGAATTTGTCAGGCCTCTTCTGGTTGCAGGTGACAGAAACTGACTTTAGGCATGGCTGGATCCTGGTTCTCAAGTGACATCATCAGGACCATCTCTCTCTCTATCTCTAGGCTTTGCTTTCCTCTGTCTGGGTTTCATGCTCAAGCTGGCTCCCTGAAAATGACCACCAGCACCTTCAATCTACTCATTTAGCAACCCCAGTGAAGAAAAGGCATCTCTTTTCCAACATTTTCAGCAAAATTCTCCACACCACTCTCATTAGATCAATTTGCTTACTATGCCAGGGGCATGAAATGTGGTGACTGGTTAGGCCTGAGTAAAATGCCCATCCCTGGGGCTGGGGGATGGAGTCACGGTCACCTGAAACATATGGATCCAGTCCCGCAGGCTTGTTTCCCCAAAAGAAAAATGGGGTGCTTTTGCCAGAAACAGGAAGAAGGCGTTAGAAGGGAGCAAAAACATTTGTACAGAAGTGCCGGGTACTGCTAGTTCTCGTATAAACATTTCCATTAATCTGTACAATGATCCAAAGAAATCCATTCCACTGATGAGGAAACCGAGGCTTGGGGTGTTGAGTGACCCGCCTGAGTTTACACAGCTCGCAAGAGGAGGAGCCAGATTCTCGCTCTGACAGTCTGACTCCAGAGTCCTCTCCCTTAAGAATATAACATATACACACAGTAAAAATTCCAAACAGTGCAAAACGGTCTAGAGTGAACAGGTGGTTATACTTCAAGCCCTATTCTGAGCTCCAGCCTCTCCCTTGCTGTCCCCAGTCGTCCACCCCAGATGCCCCACTTTTAAGCTTTGTTATGCGGGTTGAGAATAGTCTTTAGGGCGAATTTGTCCCCACTTCTGAGGATTTTACCCCATGCCTCATGTACTGCGAGGTCTTTCCACTCGGGATGGTGGGAACATGAACTATTTTCAGGCGGGTGTGAAGTGGGAAATTGTTGGGCTCAAAGCTTTGCGCTGGGTCTTTCCCAGCCTCTGGGAGCTTCGCACGCATGCGCCGACCGGTACTCAGGCCACGACTAGTGGGGTCCTCTCGCTTCTGTGATACTCTGCCGGGCCAGTCAAGTTACTTTGGCCACCTTGAGTGCGATCTGATCCGTCTCCTTAACTCAGGGAGACCACCGGGCTCCGCCTCGGGTCCCCTCCCTGAACGGTGGCGGCAGAAAGGACCTCCTAGAGGTAAGCTGGGGCAGGTTAGGGCTCCCCTCCTGCTTTCCCTTCTCTCGCCATCAGCCACCCTTCCTGCACTGGCTGCTGCTCAATGTCCTTAAAACCGTTGTTTCATTTTGTCTGCGTGTTTTCTTTAAGCTGTTTAAGGAAAGGCAGTAAATCTGGTTCCTATTTCTCCCTCATGGCCAGAAGTAGTGCCACTTTAACCAGTTTTATATGAATCCTTCCAGAGACGCACTATGCGTGAACAAGAATCTATATCCCCTCTTCTTTATACAGATGGTACGCCCTTTGCTACACAGTTTTGCACCTTATTTTTGTCACTTACGATCCCCCAGAGTGTTCCCTGTAGGTGGACCTCACTCTTTTAAGGCGGAGCCTGCACTCCTAACCCCTACTCTATTCTGCCTCAGTGAATGACAGCTGAGTTATTATTGGCTGTAATTGATGCTCGGTAACGTGTTGACGAGTTGAATAAATTATGTTGAAACTGCACCCAGGTGGCTGGACTCTCATGTTCTGATGACTGGAGGAAACAGGATGCCCCATATTCAGTCTGGGGTCCTTTGTATTCCAGACTCTTCTGTCCTCTCCTTTCACTTCTCTGAAGAGATTCTTGTCGCCTCATGGACTATGGTAGGCTGAGACATAGTGATATTTAAACCTCTTCTTTCCCATTTCATAAGAATTCAATTTATACGACAAAACCACATGAGTTATATAAAAAGAGGCACCCCTGTACCCAGTCGGGGAAGCACTGTAAAGTGATATGGAAGTGTGCCTGGATGGAGCCTGGCATTGAGAAGTTCAGCAAATACTTTTTGGATGAACGTGGGGTTCAATTGTGTCTTGTGCAATTACTACCTAGTCTCCTTTTCCCCCAAAAGTCCTGGTTGTCTGACATCTAGTTAGGGCCTATTAAGTGTTGCTGTCAAAGATGAGTATACAGAGATATTCACTGACTCATTATTTATAAAGGTAAAGCATTGGAAAGATCCTAAATGTTCATAGCAACAGAATAGTTAAATAAATAGTGAAAGATTGGTATATAGCATTAGTATTATCTTAGCCCTTTCAGGCTGCTGTAATGAAAAACCACAGACTGGGTGGCTTATAAACAAAAATTTATTTCTCACAGTTCTGGAGTCTGGGAAGTCCCAGATCAAGGTGCCGGCAGATTTGGTGTCTGGTGAGAACCCCCTTCCTGGTTCATAGATGGCTATTTTCTTATTGTGTCCTCACGTGGCAGCTGGGAGCTCTCTGGGGTCTCTTTTCTAAGGGCCCTAATCCCATTCATAAGAGCTCCACTTTCATGACCTAATCACCTCCCAAAGGCCCCCACCTCCTAATACCATCTCATGGTGCATTAGGATTTAACATATGAATTTTGGGGGGACACATTCAGCCTGTAGCAAGTATATAGCTCTTAAAAATATGTGTGTGGGATATAGGTTAACATGGCCCCCAAATGCAAGTCAGCATCTTCGTCTGGGCTTTAGCTGACTCTTTCTTTCACCACAACTTTGGAAGTTAACACTCAGCAAGAGATATAAATTCACTATTTAACATCTTATCTAGTTCTCATGGGAGCCCCACAAAGTGGGGCTTCATTTCTACAGAAGAACCAATCAAGGCCGTAAAGCTAATGTATGGAGGAACTAGGATTTGAGTTCAGGTCCTTCTGACCCTAAAGCCTGAGATCTAGCTGCCCATGGGGTTAAAGCATCGTTCCCAAAGTGTGCCCTGCGGAACTCTACTCCTACGAATATTACAAGGAAAAAGACTTCCCTGTTCTCAGGAATATTTGCATTTGTTCCCAAGATATTTGCATTTCTGTTGTGATTTAAAGTGGGAGACAGTTTCTAGCATCTGCCTATGGTTGAGAGAGGAGTTTTTAATAGATGGTGGCTGGGTTGACACCTTGGAATTGTTCCATGGGAGCTGATCCATTACTTCATCTGAGTATAAGGCAGCCCCTTGTACAAACACCTGGGTCGTAGAAATTTGGAATATCAGAGTTAGGAGGGCTTCAGAAAGAATCATTTACCTATCTCTTCATTTTATAAATGAGGAAATTGAGGCAAAGGGAGACTACCTTATCCATGGACACCACTTGGTTTGGCTGAGAGAGGGCTGGAACCCAGGACCTAGCTCTCCTGACTCCTACTTCAGTGCTCTTTCCTCTTTCTGTGAATAAGAGAAGTATTTTATAAATTTCCTGGCAACCAATGAGTGGTTTTACATATATTCTCCCTCTGTTTCCATTTCTCTGTGTTTTAGCTGTGTTCTTGCTCTCTCTGTCTCAGACCCTCCTCCTGATTGTATTTGAGTTCACAGCAAGATGGCAGATTAATCACATAGAAAAGAGAGACTAGAGAGTTGAGCAGAAGGAGCCTTAGGATATAGGGTTACAGCCTTGCATTAACTCTGATAGGGATAATCGTGCCTCATTACACATTAGTTTTGTGATGGAAAAGCTATGTGTACAGGTAAGATTTTACAGTTGAATCGTATCAGGGATACTTCCTATTTAAAGACCACCATGGCCATCCTTTGCCTTATCCATTCCATCTCCAGAAATTTATCTTACAAAGATATGTGTATAAGTATGTTTTTTAAAACATTGTATGCAATAGCAAGAGATTAGAAACAACCTAAATATCCGCTAATGGGGGGATGGTTATAAAAACTGTGGTACATCCATACAGTGGAGTACATAAAGCCATGAGATGCAACATGGCAGATCGTATGGGATGATATGATACAACCTACAAGATGTATTAAATGAAAAAATAAGGTGTCTGCCTGTCTTGGTTAGGGTTCCTGTGAAAGCAGAGCCTCAGACAAGGACTTGGATGCCGGTAGTTTTTCTGGGAAGTGATCCCAGGAAAAATGAATGAGGGAGCGAAGAGAGTGAGACAGAAAATGCAAATAAAGGATGTATTATTGAATTGTTGCTATAGGTAAAGGAAATCCAAATAAGTCCAGACCTTTGAAAAACACACAGAATGTCTGTCTCTCGGAATTGTCTTTCTGTTGGTAGGAAGGAAGGATGGGGCATTTATTAACAAAACCCATCCTGCATTGGTGAAGGTTGTTCCAGGGGCTTACCTGCCTTCTACTTCGGGCTGCATTTCCCCGTGGACTGAGCAGGCTCCTGTGACTTTGGAGAAAGCACTAGTTCACGTTGGGACTGGGAGCCTGCAAGGAAGGGACTGTCCACAGGAGTTGCAGCAGAGATCAGAGGTGGTCAGAGAGGATGGGGTGCCGGGCACCAAAAGCATCTGCTATAATACAAAAGATGTCTACTTGCCTGTAAAGAAAGTATATGTGTGTGTTTGTATGTGTATACCTACATACATATCCATACTCAAATACCAATATAGAGGTGTATACACATATACATACAGGCAATTTTTAAATAATATATAAAATCACTGGGAACAGTGGTTGCCTTTGGGTAGAGAGATGGGGGTTTTTGGCAGTCTGGACATTTGGTGTGGGAGAGGACTAATTTTTCAACGTCTAACTTTTTTTACTAGTTGCTGTTTTTTTTTTTTAACCATATGAATGTATTTCTTTAACAATGTTTTAATTAATTTTATTGAGGTACAACTTTCATAATAAAATGCACCTATTTTAAGTGTACAGTTTAATGAGTTTCAGTGAATGTATACACTGGTATACATTCAGTCAAGATATAGAACATTTCCGTTGAGTTCTCTGTTGGCCTTTTGCAATCAATTCCCTCCTCTCACTCTAGGCAACCACTGCTCTGCTTCAAATCACCTTAGATTAAATTAGTCTTTTCCAGAGTTTCTGTAAACTTGTTTGTGTCTGGCTTATTTTGCTCAGCATAACATTTTTGAGAATTATCCATTATATTTTTCATATCAATAGTCTGTTCCTTTTTACTGCTGAGTAGTATTCTGTTGTAGAGAAATGACACAATTTCTCATTCACTTTTTGATGGACTTGTGGATTGTGTCTAGTTTTGAGTTATTATGAATAAAAGTTATCATGAAAAAGTCATGAACATTTGCAAACAAGTCTTTGTGCAGACATATGTTTTCATTTTTCTTTTGTAAGTGCCTAGGGGGTTGCTGGGTCATATGGTAAGTGAATATTTAACTTTATAAGAAATTGCCAAATTTTTCCAAAGTGCATTATTATTTTGCATTTCTACCCTCCAAGTATGAGATTTCCAGTTGTCCCACCTCCTTGCCAACACTTGGTATTATTTCTATTTTTAATTTTAACTATTCTAGTGGTGGTAGTAGTATTTCATGATTTTAACTTGCATTTCTCCCATGACAATGATGTTGAGCATATTTTCATTTGTATATTTGCCATTTATATTTCTTCTTTTGTGAAGTGTCCAAAATTTTGACTGCTTTTAATTGAGTTAATATCTTATAACTGAGCTATAAGAGTTCTTTATATGTTCCAGATACAAGCCTTTTGTCAAATATATGTATTGCTTATATATTTTTTCCATGGCTTGCCTTTTCTTTCTTTGTTTTTTTTTAATGCTGTTTTTCAAAGAGTAGGAAGCTTTAATTTTGTTACAGTCCAATTCGTCAGTTTTTTTTTCCTTCTAGAGTACACGCTTGTTGTGTACTATTTAAGAATTCTTTGCCTATATTAAGGTCATAACATTTTTCTCCTGTGTTTTCTTCTAGAAGTGTTTAGTTTAGCATTTACATTTAGGTCAATGATCAATTTGAAGTTAATTTTTGTTTACGGTGTAAGGCAATGATCAAGGTCTATTTTCTTCCTGGGATATTCAATTCTCCTAGCAACATTTGTTGAAAGTCCTCTCCCCTTGGGTTACTTTGGCATTTTTGTCAAAAATTAATTGACCATATATGAGTGGGTTATTTCTGGACTCTTTATTCTGTTCCGTTGATCTGTATGTCTCTCCTATGTTAATAGCATGCTGTCTTTATTATTGTAGCTTTATGGTAAATCTTAATATAGTGCAGTTCTTACACTATTTTAGGATGTAGTGTAGGAGGTAGTCTAAGTCCTCCAACTTTGTTCTTCTTTCTTGAAGTTGTTTTGGTTATTTTAATTCCTTAACATTCACATACAAATTTTATTACCAGTTTGTCAATTTCTATTAAGAAAAAGCCTGGTGGTGGTGTGATTGAGATTACATTGAATACCAATACATCATGAAGTATTGACATCTTAACAATATTCAGTCTTCCAATCCATAAACATTGCATATATTTTCATTTATTTAGGTTTTCTTTAATTTTTTCAGTGATTACTTTGTTATTTTCCGTGTAGAGGTTTAGCATATATTTGTTAAACTTATCCACAGTGTTTTATGTCTTTTGATGCTATCATAGATGGTTTTTGTGGTAGCCAGCCCCAGATTGGCTCCCAGTGATCTTTTCCTTCTGGTATTAATGGCTTTGTATACCACCTCCCTCCCCACGCCCCTTCCTCCACCACACGTACATTGTACCAGAGTTGGTCTGAGTGACCAGTAGAATATGGCAGAAGTGATGGAATGCCACTTCTGAGACTGGGAAATAAAAGGCATCCCGGCTTCTCCTTTGCTCTTTCTTGCTTTGCTTGCTCTGGAAGACATGGGAACAGCTCTGTTGGAAGGTCCAATGTGGTAAAGAACTGAGAGGAACTGAGGCCTCCACTAATAAGATAAGAACAAGTGACCTTGGATTTGGGTCCTCCAGCCCCAGTCAAGCCTTCAGATGACAGCAGCCCTGGCTGACATTTTGACTGCAACCTCCTGAGAGACCCTCCTGAGAGACGGACCACCTAGTGAAACTGCTCCCCGATTCCTGACTCTTGGAAACTGTGGGAGATACTGAATGTTTGTTGTTGTAAGCTGTTAATTTGGTAATTTGTTATATAGCAGTTGAGAACTAATAAAGTATTTTTTTAAGAACAATTAATGGCATCTCTTTTATTTCAATTTCTAATTCTTTATTTCTAGAATATAGAAATTCTATTTTTTTTATATAGACTTCGTATCCTCTGTCCTTGCTAAAATCAGCTCTTTGGTAGATATCTTAGGATTTTTAATATAGGCAATCATGTCATCTGTGACAAAGACAGTTTTGCTTCTTTTCAAATCTGGATGCCTTTCATATATTCTACTGCCTTATTAAACTGGCTAGGACTTTCAGTATAATGTTGAATAAAATGGTGAGGGCAGATAGTCTTGCCTTGTTCTTGATCTTAAGGGGAAAGCCATTCAATCGTTCACCATACGTATGATGTTAGATGTAGGTTTTCCAGAGATGCCCTTTATCAGGTTGAGGAAGTTTTCTTCTGTTCTTAATTTACTGAGAGGTGTTTTTTTTTTTAATTTTTACCTATTCCTGTCATCAATACTAAATTTATAGTTTTATTATAGTAACAAATTGTGACAGTGAGATCTACACACGTATACAGAATTACATTTAAATTCCTATAGAACGATATTTACATTTTTAAGTTACACTTGAAATTAGAAGGCGAAGTACAGCTTAAGCTTTACAAAAAAGAAAAGAAAAACACAAGACAAAAACAGAGTTAACAGTAAAAATATAACTATCTGTTTTTGATACAACGCGTGGAAACTTTTTGTCAGAAAGCTACATCTTCTTAATCTGATTGTCGAAATCACTAAAATATGGATGGTTCAGTGCCATTTTGCCAGAAATTTATTTGGTGGGATCATAAACGAACATTTTTGAAAGCAAATCCAAGCCATTTTAACCAAGTTTTTGACATGGGATGCTAGGCTTCCTGGTTTCCGCTTGGGAAACATATTCTTATAATTCTATAAAGATTCCACTTATGGCTACACTTCATTATTGAGGGTGCCCAAAGCTCTGAAAATCCTGAAGAGTTGATCAACTTCTGAATCCCCATGGAAAAATGGCTTCTTGGTTGCTAATTCTGCAAATATGGTGTCTAGACTCCAGATGTCAACTGGAGTCGAGTAGTGAGTTGACCTCAGCATTGCTACCTCATGTGTATGTACTCTAATAGGTATTCCAAAAGCTCTGGCAAAGCCAAAGTCAGCTGGTTTAATCGTTCCTTTGTTATCAATAGATTTTGATGTTCTGAGTCTCTGTGAGGGGCTCTTCTAGAGTGACAAAACACAATCTCTTGTAGGATTTGGTACGAATAATCTTAATAAGTGAAGAATCCATGAACTGACCAAGAGGGTAGAATCCAAGTATTTCTCAAGATCCAAGGAATCCAAAGATGAGATATAACCTGGAATCCTGCATAAGCACATTTGGATGACAGAATTCTTTTAATAGAGAATTTTCCCAAATTGCAATACTAGGAATCCTTCCTCTTTACTCTCTAGTCTGATTTTCTTCATGGCTACCACTTGATCTGTAGTTTTGTGTCTACCCTTATACGTAACTTCATAGGTATCTTCTCCAATGTTCTCTATTTTGGTATAATCTTCCATGGTTACTCAATAGATATGGTAGATCCTGGCTTACTATTTTGTGATGGTGGGGGAGTGGGGTTGGGGATGTTGGAATGGTGGAGGCAACAGTGGCAGCTACCATGTCTGTGTCACTCTTTCCTCAATTTCCAAGAGCCCTGAGAGCTTTTATTATGAATCATTTTCTATAATCTTTCTGAGTCTATTGAGATAATTATATGTTTTTTCTTCTTTTTTTTGTTTTCTTAATATGGTGAATTACATTGATTGATATTTGAGTGTTAAAACAGCCTTGTATGCCTGAGATAAACCCCACTTGTTCATCATGTATGAATTGTTTATGAAAATATTTGGTGAATACTTTTCTATTATTTGAAACACATCTGCATTTTGTGCATCTGAGAGAGGCCAGGAGACTCTGCTCCCCATTGGCTGCTGTTGGGATCACAGTGGTCCCTTGGTGCCTGAAACTTGGACAAGTGGGTTTTTATAACCCTCTGAGATCCTTGGGGGAAGTGTCCAGACTGAGACATATGGGAATCTTGGTGGACTGTTGATAATTTTCTACCCCCTAAATCAATATATTTGTTCAAACCAAGTATTTGTTTAATTTGGAGGAGGAGCTGAAAACTGGGATAGTGAGTGGAAGAATGAGAAGGAGGACTGCTGATAGAAACCTCAAAATAGGGAGAATATTAAGATATGGCTACCCTAAAATGACAGATATTCACTAATGAAAACATGGCCCTTCGGGGTCTTAGCTGCATCTTCAGGATCATTTTACAGTATTCTTTCTATTACACACTCTATTTTCCTAAGAAGTGACATGACAAAATGTCATGTCAAAAAATGAAGTGACATGACAAAATGTCATGTCAAAAAATGAAATGACATTTTTTCCTCCATCTCCTTAAGTTTCCAGTGACATACCAGCACCCAGTGAGGTTTGAGCCTGCCTTTCCTTATGTACTGATGCTTTAGGCAGCTGCCTGGCAGACCCACTCCTTAATCGTGCTCAGGCATGACTATTTCCTTTTAGGGCTTTGAGCTCAGTATGGGTTTGATCAGTATTATTGAAAGCTCAGTGTCTCCTTCTTTGGGACTCTGGGGAGATGGGTATGAGATATTATGATAATTTATTTTCTCTCAAGATCCTTAAGACCAGGAGAAACCTCTCTTGGCCTTCCTCAGAGGCTGGGGTCAGTGTGCATATGTATGAGTAGGGAGACTGAGACGTGGGATTCTGAAAAGGAAACTTTCAGTGGATGAGATGATAGGAAAGAGTCTGGGCGTCTCCAGTGAGTCCCCAACAGCTGCCAACTTCTCAAGGTTAATCCACTGAAAAAGGCTAGACCCTCTTGGCTTTCCCCTGTATCCGGTCAGCTATGGATCTTGGAGTCTGTGAAAGTAGCTGGTGAGCAGAGCAGAGCAATGCAGTCTCTCTTTCTCCTCTGTCTCATTTTTCATTCTCTCTCCTCTCTCCGCCTCTAATCTAGACTGGGACAATCAGATGACAAAAGAGTTCTACTTTAAAACAAGTGCACTCAGGTATTTATAGTAAGGAAATGGACTGAATGAGCCAGCTGCTAAAAATAGAAGGTCTGACTTAATCCATTCAGAAAGATTGTAGCCCAATGCATTTAGGGATAAAATAAATCAATTCAGATCTAATATTTAGAAAACGTATCCCAGATTGGGATGCTTGGTCTCTCACGAGAAATGCTATAGATTTTTCCAAATTGGCAGCAATGGTGGGCATGGGCTTTGCAGGCAAAAAGTCTTGACTCTTAGCCTGGACCTCAGAAGATCTTCTAAAGTCTGTTCTAATTTTCCTCCAGAAAAATTGGTCTAAGTCCTCTAAGCTTTGCACTATACAGATTTCAGTAAAGCTTGCTGAGCCCATAAGGGAGTTTGGGGGTTCTGACTTATGTTTGGGGAATACTAACTCTCTGTCTACTTTATGATTGGTGCTCATTCAATGGTCCCACATGGGTAAGTTCTTTGAACGAATAAACACATGCACAACATTTACTGAACACTTACTGAGTGCTATGCACCATGCTAGGCCCTTCTCATGCTCTTGGGCTGTGCACTTAGAGGCCCTCAATCAATGTTTGTTTATGATATCTTGACTACTTCTCTCTTATTATCTCTCCTCCTTTGAGTTCAACAGCCTAATGGTACTGTTCAGCTTCACATCTACTTTATGTTATCTTATATCATCCTTTATATCAGTTAGGAATGTGTTAAGTTACAATAAAAAAACCTCAACCAATGTGGTGGTTTAAAACAATGGCTGCAAGTTCTTTGATACTCCTCCCATTGAGAGTTGGGGTCTGTATCTCCTCTCCTTGAATCTGGTGACTGCTTTGACCAACTGAGTACTGCAGAAATGACACTGCATGACTCCTTCATGAGGCTAAATCATAAAAAGCCATGCAACTTCTGCCTAGGTCTCTTGGAATGCTTGCTCTCAGAACCCAGCCATCATGCTGTGAAAAGCCTAAGGCATATGGAGAGGCCACACGTGTAGGCACTCTGGTCAACAGTCCCACCTGAATCATTTTGGTCATCCCAGCCCAGGTACCAGACACGTGAGTGAAGAAGCCATCTTGGAAGTGGATTCTCCAGGTCCAGCTGTTCTAGTTCCCAGGTGTTTGAGTCATTCATCTGTTTGCGTCTCCTCAGTAGAGACGCTAGACATTACGAAGTAGAGATAAGCCATTCCAACTGAACCCTGTCTGAATTCTTGACCCACAGAATCTGTGAGCTTAATAAAATGTCTTTTTATGTCACCAAGTTTTGGAGTAGCTTGTTACACAGTAGAAGTAACTGGAATATTCAGCTAGCACTGGTTTACAGCAACTGAAGCATGTGTATATACATATTTTATGTAGTGAGAGGTCTTGAGGTGGGCTCTTGTGGGCATTAGTTCACTGGTCAACATCAGGACCCAGGATGGCTCCATATGTCCTTGTGCCATCCTTAGGATGTTGACTTGTTCTCATGCTTGTTGCCTCATCATTTTAGCATAACTACTGTTGCTCCAGGCATTGCGTCAGCATTCAAGTTAAGAAGAACAAAGGACAGGCAGAGCCAGCCTCATCTATACAGTTTTATTAGGAAAGCAAAAGCTTTCCCCAAACCCCCCAAGTCTTCACTTCTGTCTCATCAGCTAGAATTTTGTCACATGGCCACTCCTAATGGGAAGGGAGACTGAGAAAATGAGTATTTACCTGGTCATATTGCTGTCCTAAACACAATCTGGATTCACTTAGTGAGGACACAGGAGAACATGAACACCACGTGGGCAAGACCAGTGTCTGCCACCTACCTCAATTGTCTTGCATGTTTTTTTCTGGTCGGTTCAACTCGATGGTGAGTTATTGAAACCTGAGACAATGCTGGTTACTTCTCTGGAAAGCTTCTTGGCATACAATACAGCACTGCGAACGTCATTTCTGTTTAACATGTTTACTTGTTAAAGAAAGAGGAGAATAAGAAAGAGGAGGTTTTGCAGAGCAGAGCTCTTCAAATTTTTTTCCTTGTCCATCCCTTGAAAGTATTTTGAGAGACAATGTACTCCCTTGCATATTTTTAACTTGATATCTGCAGTTTTTCATTATTACTTTACATAGTTGCAAAGAATGTAATTTTGGCATATTGTAAATACTGACGTTTTAAAATAAACCTTTATATTGCTCTTTTTAAAGTTTCCAATGAAGTCTAAATACCATAGTGACTTGATACTACTACCTTCTGCTTAAAAACTCACAAACTTTCCTTTGGTAGTCAGAAATTTTTACATCATTCCTTTTCTCCTTGAACTTATATTTTTATCCCACTTTCCCCACAGAATTTTATCCTAAGGTAATATATTTTTATGCTTCAAAGTTTTTTTTTATTGATTTCTGTATTATACTTCTCTGCAACAAAAACATACATATAAATTGAAATAGCATTTTTAAAACACTTGACTGAAAGTTTCTAAGTATTGAAACATTTCTTCTGGATTGAATTATCATTAAAATTATTACTACACAATTGAGAAAAACAACATAAATATATTATACATTTTCATACATAATTATTAAACACAAGAAGTGAAATTCATTGGAAATGCATCTATTATGAGATGGATGGGATTTTTAAAAAATTATTTCATGTATCTGTGGGTGAATATTACTTGTTGCTAGAGTGAGGCAATTACAATTACAATCTTATTTTTTGTTTATTGAGACACAAGTGCTGGAAATGTTTACATAAGTAGATGGAAATGTAAGGAATATTGTTACACTTGAATTAATTGAGCTACTTCCAAGTCATGTATTAAAATCACATAGTGATCTATCATAGAAAATTATTTTTAATGATCTATCAGCTGACAGCTCAATTAGGTCCTCTTTCGATTACATGGAAATCACCTGACTTGGAAAATGACCTGTAATTTGAGTCATTTGAGTTGTTCCCTTGCAAATGGGTTTGTTACCCGCTGATCAGAGACATTCACAACCTCAATATTTCTATTTGATCCCTTTGGATGGAGCCGTGGAAGTTTATACTCCAGGACGCATCATATTAAGATTTGGGATGAGGGAGAATTGTGCCT